ATGGACTGGTTATACTGGGACAATGAGAAGTTAAATGGACTGGTTATGGATAAAGAATGAACTAGCAGAGGACTTCAACTAGAGCAGATTGTGGAGGACTTTGCGGTGCGCATGACCTGCAGACAGGTGAGTACAACAACACACCTATGTTGTAACTACACCGCACAGAGGAGGACGTTTACATCTACTGCGTTGCATAGAAACGTAGCACTGTGTGTTTCTGTCGCACTACAGGATGAGCTGAAACTGAGCAGGCTCTCCTCTGATGTAATGTGTGTTTATGGCTGCAGCGGCTGTGGAGTTGATATTGTTTTAAGATCTCTGTGTTTTCTTTGGCGATGTTTTATTCTACTGTTGCTTCAATAAGAAGTGTTTATTTATGCACTATTTATCCTTATATGCTTGTTTTGTCTCTTTGTTGGTTATTAAAAGCTGTACCGACAGAGGCGGCTGCATATTCAAAATTGAAAATAAGTTGCATGAAAGTTATTGTTGTGTTTGAACGTAAGGGCATTTTAGCTGACTGAATTATTATCGGAATAATTTTGGACTACATTTTGATGAGTACATTTTTATTGAAAATAGGTTAATTGTACTTTTACTTGTGTATAATATTCTAGTAGTTTTTGCATCCCTCCCTTTACTGCATGTGTAAAATAGGCCGAGCTGGAGCTCCAATTAAGCCTTAAGGGGAATAAAAGGTAAAAGCTACTTATGAAGCCTTTAAAAACCTAAGTGATTGAGAAAAGTTGTAAATTGTCTCAATGGAGAATCTGAAACCTTGTCTTTTTTTAATTTGATAAATTAAAGATGATGCACACAAGCCCTTGGACAGCCACTAGATGGCAGTGCAGCGTCAAGGGGAACTTGAACCTACATCTCACCAGAAAAAAACAAAAAACTAAACTTTTGTGACAGGACACATCTAATAAAAGCATTTTTAGATTGATTTCATGCGTGTAATGAATCCTGGATCAATCAATTCAGCGTTGAACACCTGGAACCGCCGTATAGCTCCACCTCTTAGTGAACCACAGAGGCCCTCTGGGCACAAAGGCCCCAAAGCCTGCATTGAATCAACATCAAATCTGGCCTGAATGCTGTAATGACATCTTCTACCACAATCACGGAAAACAACATTCCTCCGACTCTCAAGAGGAACTTTATTATTTAAAAACATGCTGCAACCTCAGCAAGTTTTTTTGCGTAGCGTTACCTCTGGGTCTACACAGCGAGGATGTAACGCCCCGGGTCACACGTCTAATGTCCAAACAGCAGCCTCAGAGTGTTTCTGACCAGCTTAGCGGCTCGCCACGGTCCCCAATCTGCCTCCAGAGCAATTAACGCCTCCTGTAGTGAACAGAATGGATGAGGGGTTGGTGGTTTTAGTTCGAAGGCAAAGCCCTCGTCTTAATGACCTTAAGCTCCCCTGGGCTCCCAGCTCATGACTTATAGATCACACCGGCTGTGTTGACTCAACTGTAAATATACTCTGTTCATAAAACACTGTAGGGTTATTATCATGGCAGCCGGCCTCGGCTTTTATGTGAAATATTGACGCATGAGGGACAGGTTTGGGGCAGAATGGCATTGTTTTGATGTAAGGGCATGATAAATGGTATTGCTGTTTTGTGCTGTATGGGTGAGGGTGTAATAACTATAACGTCGAGCTATTCTAAGGTCTCCACAGTCATGAAGGTAATAACCAGATGGAGCAGATTTAAAAAGACAAAAAAAACAACCAACAAGTTCTCTCATTCTGCTTCTTTTTGTATCTTCACTGCGTTCAGTGAACTGAAGTTGCCATTTTTTCCTCTAGTTTTTTCTTTCTCCAAAGACAGCGTGGACCATCCTTGTGTGACACCTGAACACATTTCTTTTGCTGGTTAATGGCACAGAGGTCGCTCGAGCACTGTCCATTGTGTCTGCTGATTCTCAAGGTTTTAGGTAAAGATGTAGTGCTCGAATCCGCTCCGTCTTCTCTTGATGTCTTCTTTCTCTCTATAATCTCTGTCTTGTGAGTGTTTTGCAGACTGGAGAGGCAGCTCTGTGGTCACTTCCTCATACGGATGCAAAATAAATATACATAATTATGTGAATGTCACTTTGCTATGTGGCAACCTTATATACGCGCTGTAGTTTTATGCTCAAATGTGTGGAAAAATATCATACATACAGAGGAAAATACTGCAAGAATATTTATACTACCAAGGGAATAAAGTTACGAGTTTACGAGTCAAATCTAGAGCCAAACTATAATTCCTGAAAAGCTTTGTGCTTAAGCACCTCGGTTACTTTTAATAGCCGCTGCCTCAACAAACAGATCCCATATTTCCTCTGACACAAAAAGAAGCAACGACACGTGTACACATTAAATATAAATCATTTTATAATATACAAATTGTACAGATGTCATGAACAATAGGAATGTGGACATACTCGGGATAGCAAAGATAAAGAGTACTTTTATCCTCGTCGATAGCAAACACTGCTATGCAAGTGACAACGGCACATGATCAAAGATACTCAACATTCAAGATGGCAGCCGAGGTGATAAAAAAAAACATCAGACAAAAACCTAAGAATACATTTTCCAGAGGCTGTGAGCAAGCTAAAGTGACAACGCAGAAGAAAAAACCCCCCAAAAAGATGGCATCCTATTGTATCATGTTCTGTCATTTCTACTCTGCCCATTTCACATCATAGTAGCACACAGGAAATTAACCATTGCGTTTTATTTTTCTTTACAGCGTCACCAAGAACGATTGCACCAGCGCCACTATTGAGGCTCAGAGACGATTATGCTGATAGAAGACAGGAAACTGTATATGATCTTTTTTGTATTTTTTTTTTGTATTTTTTTACACAAATGGGCAGAGAGCTGCAAATGTATATTTCAGTCGAACATTAGTCAAAGGTCTCCTCCTTTTCACGAACGTGGTTCAGCATCATTTAACTGATGAAGTGTGAGATCCTGCCTCGCTTTTCTCTCTCTGTCTGTGTTTTTCTTTTACCAGGAAAACAAATCTCAATTACCCACAGTCCCTGAAGTGTACTCGTGTCAGAGGTCAGACTGCACTGCCACCAATCAGCCCTTATCAGGGAGGCCGCGGCCTCAGGTAGGACGGGCGGATGCAGGGCCGCCTGTAACTTTAGTCAAAGTTACGACCATCTTTGCTTGTGGAAGTCCAACCGGACCGTAGGAGGAGTTGGAAACTCAGTCATGTCACATGACATCACCTCGCCCCTAACCGATGTTTCCAAAGTCTGCTCTTCTAGATGTTGTGGAATCTGATCTGTCTGTTTTCACAGGATGCCAAAGGGGAATAAATGTCACAGTTTCAGATGAAAAAAAAACAACAAAAAAAAAGAGAAGGAATACTGAAACAAATTCATAAAGCAGATACAGTAGATGACAGTTATGTTTATCTCGACGACGGGGAAAATGAAGAAATTGATTAAATCTGTCGAAATACGTTGACCAGGATCCAGTGGGGACATTTTGTCAAAATATTCCCAATGAGCTCGTCGGCTATCAAAAGGCGTCTTTTGGTATTGCCTTTCATAATAATTCATATTTGTCACATCCTGACAAACGCGTGAAAGTGACAGCTGAGTCTTATTTGCTCCCCCAGCAGCTCTGATGCCACAGGTAGCTTCAAATATTCCTTGAATACAATAAGTGCTTATTAAAGCTCAAACAGCCGAAAGCTAAAAGCAGCTGAGAGAAGGAAGATTAAAAAAAAGAAAGAAAAGAAAACACCACAGAGAATACGATATGACTTCATATCCTAATTCAATATTATCAGAGTGGTCATTTGTCACGTGCTCCTTCAAACTGCGTACAGCTGTGAAAAAATCCATTCCGGCTCAAATATGACCCTTGACCTCGTCTGCCATTAGCGATCCCGCCCATGGGTCTGGACTCCGTCATAGTGGAGGGCGGGAGGACAAAGAGCATTACGTTTGTGGGTTTAAAACCAACAACGGCCCTCGGGAGGTAGGTCCAAGCGTCGGTCAGAAACACATCTTTAGCAAGCTTTAGCGAAACAGCAGAGGCAACACGAAGCCCACAATAAAATCTCTGGACTCAAAAACAGAACATTCACAACAATAAGAAAAGAAAGAAATTCAAAACATCTTAAAAATATCTCCTATTACCTTCAATATAGACAAACACTTGTATCCCCTCACTCTGAATTCCAGTAATAAAACAGGGAAAAACCGCTTAAAAAATACCAACACGGGCTGCAGCAAATCTTTCCTGTTCCACTATAACAAACATATAACACTGAAATCACTTGTGCCTCTAAAGGACGTTTCTAAAAAGCAGATCGTGGGGCATTTACAGTATAGTAATAAGGCTAAGCTGGTCACAGTTTTTATATTCTACTCTACACAAAATCACTTGCCATTTTACATTGAAAATCTCAGCGGCGGGCGGATTCATTAAGGAGAGCACTTATTCAGCATAATCGATCTTACTTGTGTGTAATTGAAGAGTGTCATCTCCGAAAAGGAGACGTTTCTCTTGACCAAAGTATCATCCATTCTCATAAAACCAAAAGATACAAATTATGACAAATTATAGCCCGTGTGAAGCAGGACAGCAGGTAGTATACGTTCTTGATTAACCGAAAGCTAACATTTTAATAAATAGGCTTTCTGATATATATATATTGTATGAGGAGGTGCGTGTAATTTCTTTTCCCAAAATTTTGAGCACACACTCTTCCTCCTCAGTGCACATGATTCCCCATGACATCAGCTTAAATCTGAAGGCTATTTGCATGACATGTTGAGGGGGGGTTTGCTTTCAATCCATCCCCCAATAAGTGACCCACATTATAAATGCATGATTCCTGACAGATACCCCACTGACAAAAGCCATTAGTGAGCTAATGAGAGCTCCACACCGTGAACGTCGCCACCTTCCTGCCTCCCTTTCACCCCCCCCCCCCCCCCCCTTTTTTTTTGTAAATGGAAAGCTACAAGGTGCCATGAAACAGCACATTATGACTTGGTTATTGTCAGAAATGATGTTGGGAAAGAGGTGCTTAAAGAGCTGGAGGTAAAATAATGAAGGGAATCTCAACGGGGGAATGCCGTACGCAAGCGGCCGTTACTTTGAATGAGCCTATTCATTTCTTTTATTTGACTCCCTTATCCTCTGCGGTCTTTTCTGGTTCGCTCTCTTTCTACGTCTCAATTTCTCTCCCCTCGATCTCCAGTTCCTTTGGGTCCCTGTAAACAACAAGGCTCGGTCTTAACCGTGTCCCCGCACTGATGAGAGCTTTTGTTTGTGGCCGTTGACTGGAAATATCAAATTTCTTTTTTTTAAATGCAACTTTTGTGCAAAAAATAATTCCTCACTCCTGCATGTGAGCGCTAACTAGGTGCATCTGAATATGAGTTTGCCCCCCCCGAGCTGCAAACATTCAGCTGAATTTCACATCCTTATCTGACTCGGCTCTGAATATGGAACATTCTGTATGCAAGGTGAGCTTAGCACACCACACACCAAAGAGTGATTATCGGCTCTCTTTGAAGCACTTGACGGCTTAGAGCTCAGCGTAAACAATTATCTCTTCACCCTACTTTGGATTGCCTGTCGCAACAAACGCCTTTGCCATCACCTCTACTAGCACTCTCCTCCGAGTTCCCTCCGCATCACAACCGACTGACTCTGGTGCACAGAACGAAGGAACGGAAAATGGCGATGCGGTCTGTGATCGCACAAAGATGCCTGCCCTTAAAATTGTCATGTCGTGTGGATGATGACCTGTCAAAATTCTGCCTGATTTCGGAGGTGACTTGTCTTTTTCTCAGCTTCACAAACTGAAAAAGAGCTGCTCTCAGTATAAGTACCTCTTGTAACGGGTGCTTTATCTATTAGGACTTATGGTTCTCAAACGCAACCAGAGAGCTTTCCTCCGATCCACAGTCGCTGCTGTTCTCTCAGTTTATGTAATTAACCCTTAGAATTACATTCCATTGAAAATCATGCAACCATAATAATAGAATAGGAGTAGAACGGACATCGAGCTGTTCGCTGTGGTCATTTGATTATTTGAAAGTAGCCTGCTTTGCAACGTTCCACATAAAAATGGCCGCCGCTCTAACCATCCTGCTACGTTGACTTCAGTGGGAATGTCCGTTCTACTCCTCTATTTCTACGCATGTAACGTTCCTCCCTTAAAGGCCTGGTCACACCAGAAAGTGGCACAGTGTAATTAAGGGTGTAGGGACTATTCACAAGGCTAGTTAGTAAACTACAAATGCTAACAAGCTAGCGTTAGGCATTCTTAACAGTTCTCCTAGCTATTTTTAGTTTCAGTTTAAGACATATTTGTAGCATTGACTCTGATTCTCTGTAGCAGTTTACATTCTGACAGAGGAGGTGAATTAAAAGTGGATGGCGCAACACAGCTAAGCTAAGCTACGATAGCTTCCTCCAGTACAGTTTTAACACTGTCAGGATGGCTTACGAAAATATTTACTTTGCCCTGACAAACAAACTCAATTATTTCTGCAATTCCATTGAAAGGAAATTCATTTTGCTGGTGTGACCAGGCCTTTAAACTGTTTCTTCTTCAACAAAAAGAAAACGCGCTCCAATCTGATCATGGCATCATTCTAGATTTTCAACCCCCTGTCGATCCTCCTCCTGTTATTCCAGTGTCTCCACATTGAAAATCTGTGTTTGATATATATATATATATATACATTCAGTATGTGAGATAATGCATTAGGGCTGACGTTACATGGAATCTCTCTGTAGCTACACTATGGCAGGTTGCGGGTGAATTGTCTATGAAAGTTGGTCGGTTTGGAAAATGCTGCAGCGATTGGGGTCGAAGCCCCTTTAATTTGGATCCGGGACAACAACTGTGAACCAGTTCTTACGATGGGGGAATTTGAGAGGTAGGGTGGAAAAGAATCTTGACTCGGACTACTTGGGGCTACTCTTCCTTCTCCTGGCTTTCGATAGTCGGTGTGGCCTGTGAATCTGCCGTGATCTCCTTGGCGATGACCTCCACGCCTGCCGGCTCTTCCGTCTTGCGTTTGATCGCGATCTCTTCGCCCTCGTCTTTCTCCTCGTCCGTCTCCACCCCGTTTTCGATCACAGCTTCTGCCACGCCCTCGCCTTCTTTTTCTTTGGTCTCACGCCGAGCTTCGACGGTCGCAACGATTTCCGTCACTTCCTGGACCTCCCCGTTTTCTAAAGGCTCTCCGGTCTCTTTTGTTCCCACTCCTTCCAGTGCCATCTTTTCTTCTCCCTCTTCCACTGTGCCGTGTTCTGCTCCTTTGTCCTCTGTCTCTGCTCCTCCATCTTTCTTTTCAATGCTTATTTCAATCCCATCATCAATCATTCTATCTTCCTCACACCTCGCCTCCCTTTCTTTGGACGTCTCACTTTCTCTTGCTGCCTCTATATCTGTTGCGTTCACCCTCTCATCCCTACTCTGGTCTTCCTCTTTCTCAACCTTCTCTCTGTCGTCAATCTTGGGATCGTCTGCATCCTTCTCGGTCTTTGTTTTTTTCTTCTTCTTGTTCTTTGCCGTGTCTTTGATGCAGTTCTTGTTGGACTTGCTTCGGGGCTTGAACATCAATTTCTGAAACATTCAAAGTTTACATTAGACCGTTAATGGAGCGCATTGTGACTCTTTAAATATGCTTTTGGGCACAAAGCAGTGCTCACAGACTTAATTAAGAATGGATCACAGCGGATCTAATATTCCACTGGCGTAACAAGCTAATTCAAATGAGTCTCATTGATGCCGAGGAGGAAATTGAGGCCACTCTGAGGGGAGGTATTGGTGGCCTCCAGGTCTGCAGTCTGACCAAACAAACAGGCAAAAAGTTAATGCAATATGTCGTCAATTACCTGAACAACTTCTGCAGGGTTCAACACACTGCATGGATAAAGAGAACTGAGATAGACTGCAATGAACCGGCCAAGAAACTCTTGTTAACGCAAGCAATTCCCTGAGTCTTAAGGCCTATTAAATTTGTAGTTGTGATGGCAGTTTAAATTCGGGTCACAGAAAGCGTCAACGTGGATTCATTCCACTGCGGACAAAGGTTAGCTTTAGAGGTTATCGCCGCTATTCAGGGTCGCCTAGAAAGCATTACCAACCCTGCTTCTCCAAACAACACATTTGTCTGTTGCTGAGGAACTCCCGATATCTCAAACAGAGAGGAGTCGCCTCACACATGTTCCAGCGCTCTGTGCGTGTTTGGCTAAGTAGAACAAAAACAGCTGCGTAACTGAAGGTGGCAAAAGATGATGTTGGCCCTGGATAGATGGTTAGCAGGTGTCTGAACGACTGGTGGGAGAACACATCAGCCAAGAAACACAGAGAGGAATGTGAGGTTGTGTACCTTGGATTCCCTCTTCTTTCGGCCCAAGATGGGTCTCTGCAGGAAAACAATCTGTTTGGTGGACAGACTTCCATCACTAAAAGAGAAACAGAGAGAGAGAGAGAGAGAGAGAGAGAGAGAGGAAAAGAAAAGAAGAGGAGCAGCTGTAAATGTTGGCAATTCAATAAGTTAATTTCTTTAGCAAAAACCTTTTTTTTTTTTTTGGCACACATTTATTTATAAATGATCAAACATAAAATGATGAAGGATTGGAGCAAACTTTTCCCAGTTGCTTTTCAACATTTATTAGCAAACACTGACAGATTATTTGCTTGAAAAATTGCAGCAGAACTCTAAGATAAATATGTATAGTTCATTTGCGTTAAATCCTGAGATAACGCAGATTGGTCCACACTCTTCCTGACCTTCCATCAAGATAGTGGGATGATTGCCGGTCACTGCTCATGCTTTACACTCTTATCTGACAGTTCAAGGATATAGGCTTGTGGCCCAACCTCTTCACCGCTGTCATCAGTCATCGCCATCCCCCTCATGTTTGAGCCTCGCAAGGAAACCGATATTTCACACGCAAGGTTGCAGATTTTTAAAGTCCGCCTGAACATCTTTTAACTTCTCAGAACATGCGTTACTTCTCTTTTCCTCAATTCCCTAAACATAATCCTCCGTCCCGTGCACAAGTCACACTCCTGTGTCTCGAGAAGGATAATCTGCACAAGTGCTCGCGCTGACAGATTAATCGTGGCAGGAAATGCAGATTCACTTCTGAGTGGGCTTCCTTGTCTCACGCTCACTCCTCCGTCTGCTCATCTTCGTCAACTCACAGCCCTTTTCGGGTCTCTCTCTCTCTCTCTCTCCAACTAGCTGCCTGCTTACTTGTACCACTCTGCTTTTATCTCCTGTGACAGACTCATTTTTGGCAGTTTTATTGTTTGTTTTTGCATTATTCCTTCTATTTATCTCTTGCTATTATTGGACACGGCTTAAAAAGCAGATATGTTGTCCTGCGCCGCTATATATCTGACACAAGTTCAATAATACATGCGCTCGGGTACACACACGCACACACACACACACAAAGGTTAGGTGCTGTCTAAAGTTAAGCTGGCAGCTCAACCTTGCACACGAAGAAAGATGGCAGGTTTATGATCGCTGCAGAACCCTAAAAGCCTGCTACAAATCTTCCCTTTCTCAACATCAAATGGACTTGAGACTCCTCCAGCAGAAGGCTTACTATCTAAACCATCCAAAGCCCACCACAAGTTCTTCTTTTTTTCCATTACCTTCTTCCTCCCACCATTTATCCGTAAGCTATTTTCGAGGCTGTCAAGAATGCTGGATGGCTTCCTGGCAAATCAAAGCTGAAGACTAACCGGAGTTCCCAGCAAAAGCCCCGGCCCATTAAGCCAGAGAGGAGTGGATGGCTTAGAAAATTACAGGCCTTTACAGAACCCTCTCTCGGCTGTCAGTGTCAGCCGCACTATTATAACTTTAAGCCATATAGAACGGCAATGACCTGTGTCTATTTCTGGGTGAATGTACCTGATGGCAGCTTCATCTTTAAGGGGAAATAGTCTACTGCCCACCTCTACTGCAAACTGCCACTTGAAAAAATACAAAACACCTGACAAATCAAATGCTGCACTCAAAAGAAATGCGGACTTTTATTCCAAAGAGACTCTAAACTATCTATGTTGATCACTATTTAGTTTCCAGCTAATTTAGATACCTGCAATAATGAACTAATTTGTCTGCACCTTGTTCCCTTTTTGTATGTTCGCTTGTTCCACAGCTAATGTTGAGAAATTCACATTTACTGTAGTTAATGGCTCTAAAATGTAATTACCATCTACATTAATCGAATGCGGGCAAACAGGAATGCATGCTCTGAGACAACTACATGAATTAATGTTGTGTGGAGAAGCCACTGAGCACCAGTTAGCATTAATTTCAGACGCGGCTGAGATCACTGACACTTATCCGACCCCTCCAGATGAAGTGCAGTCTGGAAACCCTCAGACTACAAAAAGCGTGCATTTGCAAATTTGGCGTTTTTTAAAAAATTGGAGGAGTCAACAGCACAAAAACAAGTGTAATGAGTATTGCTAATCTGAAATAGATCATCAACCATTATTTCGCCGCGCAAAATGTTTTCAAGGCAGGGGGAGAAATGAGCTCCGTCTTGTACTGTATCTAGGCCGACTCTGATTAATTAGCCATGTTGTGCTGTTGTGCTGTGGCATTTTGAGAGAGAGGAGAGAGG